AAAAATCTGGGAACCTTAGGTCATAGCTTCAGCTGATAACTGAGACCCAGAGGTGCAGGAGCTGAAAGCAGTACCAGAGTAATGTTTCACCCATTTGAGGCTAAGTGATTAGTGCATTGTACTCATGAAAGAAAGAATTCAGTTGGCTAATCCTGGAGGTGATTAAGGGTTTTCCTCTCTTTCAGGACCTCAGACTAACTGGTTGGAACTCATGTCGTGATCACTAGGAATGCACACTACCCCCAAATGAAAGACACTTCTCGGTCATCTCTCATGATGGTTCCTCTGCTTCCTCTCCATTCTGGAAAGACTATGTTTTAGGGCCCCACAGGTCTCTACTTCCCAGTTTCTCAGTGGCAGCATCTTTCAGAGGAGCATATTTTTCTCCTTTAATTGAGTGTTTCATCTTTAGCCAAGGTCCTTTACTTAGGGTTCACGTAGGCCTTTTGAGAGCCCCAAAGCCAGTACAAAAAATTATTTTTCTTTGATTTTGTTCTTGTTTCCTTCAGAGTTATTTTTTGGAGGAATTTTTTTTAAGTTAAACATGCATTAAGATATTGGATCAGTCCTCTGTGCCACTAACTTGCATATAGGATAGCACAGGATACCTTGGTCATGGTCATTTTTATGCTTTGACCTTATTTTCTGTGTAATTAAATTAAATACATCCTTCTATTAGGATTATGTGTATCTGTATTTGTTTACATCCAGCCTAGCTTAAGTTAGAAAATGCTGAAGGAAAGAGCAATAAAAGTTCCTTCCATTGCAGAAAGTGCAAAAATCCAGTGCTTCTTGTGTACCAATTTTCTTGCCAGTGAAAGAATGAAGGTAACAAAGTTAAAGAATTATCTTTTGTGTTTTCCATTCAAAAAACATATCAGATGGTGTGGAAGTAGTTTGAGAACATTTGCTTTGATAAGACTTTAATTTCATCAAAACCTGGATTTGTTCTAGTTTTGCTTTGGAGCATCCTACTCAAGTATGTGTCTTATTGCCAAGACCCTCACACAATTGGAGTGACTGTGGTGGAGCCATGTTCTCTGGAAATGGTCAGACTTGTTTGTGGCTTAGAGCTGTGGGAGAAAGCGCATCATTTGTTCATGCAGCAAGTATATACTGAGCATCTACTAAGTTCCAGGCACTGTTCTGAGACCTGGACACATAGCAGTGAACTGAACAAGGAAAATCTCTGCCTCTCTGTGTTCCAGAGGAGGGAGAAAGACAAACATAAAAAATAAGAAAATTATGTAGTATGTTAAGAGGCAATTAAATGTTATGGAAAATAATAATTAGGGTATAGGAGTGAGGAGTGCCAGAAGAAAGGGATTGAAATTTGAAATAGTGTAGTCAGAATGTGCCTAATAGGAAAGGTAATATCTGAGTGAAGACTTAAAGGATGTGAGAGAGTAAGACAAGAAATTATATAGGGAAAAAGCCATTCCAGGCAGCGGGATTAGTACATGCAAAGGTCCTGAGGTGGTAGCATACCTACCATATTGCAAGAGCAGCATAGAGGCCAGTGTGGCCAAGCAACACAAAGAGAGTAAGGAGAAAGGTAGTAGGAGTCAGAAACTTAAGAGAATGGGCAGGAGATTGGATAGGGCCCTCCAGACAATAGTAAGGACTTCAGCTTTTACTCTGAGTGAAATGCTGAGCCAACCAATGGAAGGTTTTGAACAGAGGAGGGGTAAGACTTAGCTTTTGTTTTACAAGGATAGCTATGGATACCATGTTGGGATTAGGTAGTAGGGGACAAGGATAGAAGCAGGCAGACTAGTTGGAAAGTGTTGCATTGATCCAAGTGAGAAATGATAGAGGCACAGACCAGGGGGTAGCAATGGAGGTGGTGGGAAGAGAAATGACTGGATTCTAGACATACTGTGAAGGTAGAGCCAACAGGCATTCCTGACAGGCTGGATGTGGAGAGTGAGAGGAGGTGAGGAGTGGGACGTGACTCTCAGGCTTTGGGCTTGGGCAACTAGAAGGGGCAGAGTGGGCTTTAGGGTGAGGTTGTTAGGAGTTAGATTCGAACATGTTCAGTTTGAGATGTCAGTTTGACAGTAAGTGGAGATGCCCATGAGGCAGTTTCAATAAACCAGTCTAGATTTCAGCAAGGAGGTTGGAAATTTAAATTTGAGAAATGACAACATATATAGCATTTAAAGCCATGAAACAAGATGAGATGACCAAGGGAGTAAGTGAGAACAGAGAAGTTCAGGATCTGGGCCTTGGAGCTCTCCAAGGTCAGAAGGTCAGAGAAGAGAGGGTGAATGAGCAAGGGAGCGACCAGTGAGATGGAAGAAACCAGGAGAGTACAGTGTCCTGCAAGGCAAGATAGGAAAGTACCTCTAGGAGGCGGGAGTGACATGCTGCATCCAGTGATAAGGTGGACAAAGATGACAAGGACCGAAAATTGTCCATTGGTTTTAGTAATGAGGTTGTCATTGGTGAGCACTCCAGAAACATGGACAGTATTTTTCCTAATATTTTAAAGCAGATCATGGGGATGACTGGTTGATGAAGGCCACATCCCTTGGCTCTGATGGCCCATTTTTCAGGGTGACAACTTTACTGAGTGAAACATGGGGAAGGGGTTGCACAGTGCATACAATTTGATCAGACCAAATTGGACAGGATTCTTTCTCCCACTCTTTCAATATCCTGTAGGACTTCTCAGGTCTGTGTTTGTGGAAATAGGGGAAAGGGAAAGAAGGAATGCCTTGAAGGAGAATAGACGGAGCTGCCAATCAATTCTGGTTGGGATTTCTCAAGCACTGTATTCTGGGAGGTGACTAAAGCTGGGAGGTTGATTAAACTTCAAACTATAAAGAAAGATGCCCTAGAAACCATTTCATTTGCATTATTTGGGATCTCTTTCTTTTTTGCCCCAAGTCAGCCATTAATTTCTGCATGAAATAATGAGTCATAACACTAAGTAAAGATTATTTTTTACATCATGTATGTAAAAAGATCAGTATTGGCAAAGAAGAAAATAAAATTGCATGCAAACATTTGTGCATATTTTTTTCTGGTGGAAGAAATATAAACTTTTCATCAAATGATCAAGTAAGAACTACTGATGTAGAGTACAGTGCCTTTTTAAAAAATGGGCTTTAGGAGCACAAGATTATATTACTGGTGCATTATTCTAGAAATTACTATTCATATATTGCCTTATTTCAGTGGCAAGGGATTGCTTTTTAATTCTCTGATTCCAGGCAGAAGCAGGATTAGTCTGCAGGTAAATAAAGTAGTGGTGTGCTGGCGCTAGTTTCCACTGGGTCCCAAGAGTCAATTGTCTGACTTCTGTCGATAAGTCCAAAAGACTGAACACTGGTAGTTTGCAATGGGCCATGATGGAAGTATTTACACCACAAAAATGAGCCATAGCTACAATCAGGCCCCACCTCTCCAAAATAGAGCCAGTTGGTATTAAACAATTATCATTAAATTAAAAAGCAAACTAAACTTAGGAAAGGAAAATGGAAATGTAAAGTCTTATATACTATATATCATATAGTATATGATATATATTGTACATAATATACAAAATATCATATATAATTATATCAAATGTTACATAAATATGTCTTCAAGGCTAAAAGAAATGTCACAAAAATTTTTGGGAAAGAGGGCAGGACAGGAAACTAATGTTTGAATATGTGTTAACATGTGTGCCATATGCCCACATGTATTTAATTCTCACAACTCTGTAGCACAGGTACTATTAACCCTTTTCCTTTTGTTTACAGTTTTATTGAAGAATAATTAACATACATCACTGTATAAGTTTAAGGCATTCAGCACGATGATTTGATTTCCATATATTGTGAAATGATTACCACAATAGGTTCAATTAACATCCATCTTCTCATATAGACACAATAAAAAGAGAAAAAAAGGAGAAGAATTTCCTCCTTGAGATAAGAACTCTTAGGATTTACTCTCCTAATAACTTTCCTACATATCGTACAGCAGTATGAACTATAGTCATCATGCTGTACATTACATCGCTAGTACTTATTTATCTTATAACTGGAAGTTTGTACCTTTTGATCACCTTCCAGTTCCTCCTTTCCCCACCCTCTGCCTCTGGTAACCACAAGTCTGATCTCTTTTTCTGTGAGTTTGTTTTTTCATTCTTTTTAGATTCCACATGTAAGTGAGCTCATACAGTAGTTGTCTTTCTCGGACTTCGTTCACTTAGCATAATGCCTTCAAGGTCCATCCATGTTGTTGCAAATGGTAGGATTTCCTCATTTTTTTATGGCTGAATAATATTCGGTTGTATATATATTTATACCACAGCTTTTTTATCCATTCATCCATCCACGGACACTTAGGTTGTTTCTGTGTCTTGAGTATTGTGAATAATGCTGCCATGAATGTGGGGTGCAGATGTCTTTTCAAGTTAGCGTTTTCATTTCCTTTGGATATATTCCCAGAAGTGGAATTGCTGGATCATATGGTAGTTCTATTTTTTATTTTTTTGAGGATCCTCCATACTGTTTCCCCTGGTGGCTGTACTATTAATTGTTATTTTTAAATAAGTACAGGTTCAGAGAGGATAATTCATTAGACCAGGATCACGCAGACTATATTAGAGCCAAGACTTGAACCCAGATCTATCCGACTACCAAATCTGTGCTCTCTCCCCTAAACCAGTGTCTGGAAGATCCCGAATATTGTCCGTGAATTAGTAGGATAAATTCTGATGTGTTAATCACCACGTCAGGGGCATAATACTAGTATGTTAATTAGCTCTTATATATTAAACTAAATTATTAAATGAAAAAAATGATTTTGATGATCTAAATTTTGTAGCATATTTATTGTCCTTGGATTATACATATTCTCCAAAATTATAAAATCCTTTATCAGTACTGTAGTAGAGTCACCCATTTACTGTAATTTGTTTCCAGGAACACTACTCAAAAGAGAAAGAAGACACTATAGTTTGTGTCCTTTTTAACAATGCCTGATTTTGCATTGCTCTCAAGGCTACTACATGTACATCGAGGCCTCACACATGGTGTATGGACAGAAAGCACAACTCGTGTCCTGGTCTCTGCGAGGAGTCACTGGAAAACACTGTTTGACGTTTTTCTACCACATGTATGGAGCAGGGACTGGCCTGCTGAGCGTTTATTTGAAAAAGGAAGGTGACAGTGGAGAGTCCCTCTTATGGAGAAGAAGAGGTGAGCAGAGCATTTCCTGGCTACGAGCGCTGGTTGAATACAGCTGTGACAGGCAACACCAGGTAAGACAAAAGAGCTAAGAATCAAGCGATGGAGATCGTTTCTATAAGCTTCTGAAGTTCTTTCGTTTTTTTGCTACCAGAGAGAATGTTTTGTTCTTTTCCAGGGTCATAGATAAAGGCAGTACTTGTTTAAGAGTAAACATAATTAGTCTATATTGATTAAATCTAAGCAGGGAATGGGAAATTAGGCAGAGAGAAAAAGCTTTGGGTATTTATGCGTAAAGTGATTTTTGCAATTCAGTGATGAAAGTGTATCTATTTTTGTCTTGGTACATTATGAGTGTCAAGTATATTCTATGCGTCCTGCAGATCTCCAAAACAGAGTCTCCCTTTCTTCTAAACATGGTTGTTGCAGCTATGTCTTTCACTCATCATCACTCACATGCAAGGGCTTTTGTATAAGCCCCTATTTGACAGAGTATATGGTCCAGAGTAAATTTTTAAGCCTCTGGCTGCATTGATGTGGAAGAAACTGAGTCTTGATCCTAAGTCTTCCCTTGAGTCCTCTCATGTGCTGTAGAGACCTCCATCCTGCAGGGTCCCGATTATCAGGGAGTCTGAGCAGCCATAGGAAAGAGCCGTTTAAATTCCAGTTGGTGAGACTGAGCAGCCAATCTAGTCTAAAGATCAGCAGCAGCCTCTTGACAGCCACCGACTTCACCTGCCTGCCATGAGCCCATGCTCCAGAAAGCTCTGAGGAGATAACCTTCAGACCTCTGATTGTTTCTGAAATTGCTCTCTAGAATTCTCAGATGTGACCTTCAAGTAAAAGCGCCACTTCTTCCTCATGCTTGCATCTGGCTGATGAACCCCCTGGACCAGCACCACTCGGCTTTAACCACTGGCTGCTTGGTCTAAGCCCAAATCTTCCTGGGAGGAGGCATCCAAAATAAGACTTGATTTGACACCACCCCACAACCAAAATTAATTTTCTACAGATCTAAATGGGAAGGGATTGCAGAAGCTTAGGTGGCCAGGTGGCAGTGCCGTCTAGGGTGCTGCATGGGTAAGGAACAAATTACAGAGGGAAGATTTCCTTTTATCCAGGAATGGCCCATTGTCTCAGCATGGATAAAGCTGTCTAGAAATTTAGTAAAGAATGACAGATACCCCCAGGAATGATTCTGTTAGTGATTTAATGTCTGTTTACAGAAGGAGAGTGGATCACTTAGGAACTTACTAGTATAATTGATCATCATTCAGAGGGGTTGGATTAATTTTGTTAAGCTCTTAGGGAACTCATACTGATACCCTATTCAAATGTTCTCAAAGTGTAGTCCTGAGACCAACAGCAACACCCAAAATGCAAATTCACCTGAAATGAAATTTACCTGAAATGCACATTCTCAGACCCAGCCTCAGAACTACTGAACTGGAAACTCTGGGGTGGGGCCCAGCAATCTGTGTTTTAATAAGCCCTCCTGGTGATTCAGATGCACGCTAAAGATGGAGAATCTCTGTTCTAGACTAAATGAATCTAAGTCTCTCTGGTAAGGCCTGAGCATTGATGTTTTTTAAAACCCCTAAATGATACTGATGCCCAGATTTCTAGGATCTGAGTTTTGGGGAACAGGTGACTTCTCAGCTTCTAAGTCCAGGGGGTTGGGTATCTGGCCTTGCATGTACAGGCATACCTCATTTTATTGCACTTCTCTTTATTGTACTTCGCAGATATTGCATCTTTTTACAAATTGAAGGTTTGTGGCAACCCTGCATCAAGCACCATTGTTCCGACAGCAGTTGCTCACTTCAAGTCTCTGTATCACATTTTGGTAATTCTTGCAATATTTCAAACGTTTCCATTATTGTATTTGTTATGATGAGCTGTGATCAGAGCTTTGATGTTACTGTTGTAACTGTTTTGAGGTGCCACAAATTGCAAAATTCCATTTCAGACAGCGAGCTTAATAAATGTGTGTTCTGATTGCCCTGTTAACAAGCTGTTCCCCCATCTCTCTCCCTCTCCTCGGGGCCCCCTATTCCCTGAGACACAGAAGTATTGAAAATAGGCCAATTAGTAATCCTACTATGGCCTCTAAGTGTTCAGGTGAAAGGAAGAATCACGTCTCTCACTTTAAATCAAAAGCTAGAAATGATTAAGCTTGGTGAGGAAGGCATGTTGAAAGCCACGATAGGCAGAAGGCTAGGCCTTTTGTGCCAAACAGTTAGCCAAGTTGTGAATGCAAAGGGGAAGTTTTTGAAGGAAATTAAAAGTGCTACTCCAGTGAACACACAAATGACAAGAAAGCAAAATAGCCTTATTGCTCATATGGAGAAAGTTCCAGTGGTCTGGATAGATCAAACCAGCTGCAACATTTCCTTAAGCCAAAGGTTAATCCAGAGCAAGGCCATAATTCTTCAATTCTGTGAAGGCTGAGAGAGGTGAGGAAGCTTCAGAAGAAAAATTGGAAGCTAGCAGAGGTTGGTTCATGAGGTTTAAGGAAAGAAGTTATCTCAACAACAAAAGTGCCAGGTGAAGCAGCAAGTCCTGATGGAGAAGCTGCAGCAAGTTATCCAGATCTAGCTAAGATAATTAATGAAAGTGACTACACTAAACAACAGATTTTTAATGTAGATGAAATAGCCTTATAATGGTAGAAGATGCCAGCTAGGACTTTCATAGCTAGAGAGAAGTCAATGCCTGGCTTCAAACTTCAAAGGACAGGTTGACTTTCTTGTTAGGGGCTAATGCAACTGATGACTTTAAGCTGAAGCCAGTGCTCATTTACCACTCCAAAAATCCTAGGACCTTTAAGAAGTATGCTAAATCTACTCTGCCGATGCTCCATAAATGGAACAACAAAGCCTGGATGACAGCACGTCTGTTTACAGCGTGGTTTACTCACTATTTTAAGCCCACTGTTGAGTCCTACTGCTCAGAAGAAAAGATTTCTTTCAAAATATTACTGCTTATTGACAAGGCACCTGGTAACCCAAGAGCTCTGATGGAGATGTGCAATGAGATTAATGTTGTTTTCATGCCTGCTAACACAATATCCATTCTGCAGCTCATGGATCAAGGAGTCATTTTGACTTTCAAGTCTTATTATTTAAGAAATACATTCTGTAGGCTACAGCTGCTGTAGATAGTTATTCCTTTGATGGATATGGGCAAAGTAAATTGAAAACCTCCTAGAAAGGTTTCACCATTCTAGATGCTGTTAAGAACATCATGATTCATGGGAAGAGGTCAAAATATCAACATTAACAGGAGTTTGGAAGAAGTTGATTCCAACCCTCATGGATGACTTTCATGGGTTCAAGACTTTGGTGGAAAAGCTAACTGCAGATATGGTAGAAATAGCAAGAGAACTAAAATTAGAAGTGGAGCCTAAATTGCTGCAATTTCATGATAAAACTTTAACAGATGAGGAGTTGCTTCTTATGGATGAGCCAAAACACAGTAGTTTCTTGAAATGGATTCTACTCCTAGTGAAGATTGTTGAAATGACACCAAATGATTTAGAATATGATGTAAACTTAGTTGATAAAAGCAGCGGCAGGGTTTGAGATGATTGACTCCAATTTTAAAAGAAGTTCTACTTTGGGTAAAATGCTGTCAAACAGCATTGCATGCTACAGAGAAATCGTTTGTGAAAGGAAGAGTCAATCAATGCAGGAAACTGCATTGTTGTCTTATTTTAAGAAATTGCCACAGCTACCCCAATCTTCAGCAACCACCACCCTGATCAATCAGCAGCCATCAACATCGAGGCAAGACGCTCCACCAGCAAAAAGATTATGACTCGCAAAAGGCTCAGATGATGGTTAGATTTTTAGCCATAAAGTGTTTTTTAATTAAGTTATGTACGTTGTTTTTTAAGACATAATGCTACTGCACACTTAATAGACTACAGTATAGTGTAAATTTCACTTTTATATGCACTGGGAAACCCAAAAATTCATGTGACTCTCTTTGTTGCAGTAGTCTGGAACTAAACCCGCAATATCTTGGAGGTATGCCTGGGTGGCTGGTGGTTTGAAATGTTTTTCAAGCACAAAGTAGTTCATCTGGGGTGGCATCTTGGGGTGTTCAAGTTCAAAGGGTGCAGAATGGCCTGAGAAATTTTTAGCTCACAATGTGGAAAGACTCCAGACCATTCCCTTTGGCTTCGAGTAGAACAGATATGAATCTGCCATGAGAAAGTTTCTTCTGGGTTTAGTGAGTCCCTGAGGAATCCTAAATGACTGTCTGGAGACCGGGCTGAACTACTTTCTCCAAAACATACTAGTGTCTAATAAAACACAGATACGCCCATGTGCAAATAGATTGGCCATCTTCTACATGCTAGGCACTTACATTGCTAAGAGCTGTACCTAAATTCTTCCAATTGATCTCATAGCTCCTCTTTACAGATGGGGAAAACTAAATGTCTAGCTGGTAAATGTCAGGGTGATAATTCAATCCCAGATCTGACTGTTTCCAAAGATTGGATCCCTAAGCCACTGTTCTACACTCCCTCCTACCATAGAAGTCCCCAAATACACTCATTCCTCTGGGTATCACGACCACTAGGTGATCTTGGAGAAATCTCATCCTCTCCTAGATTTTATACATTTTCAAAATGGGGCAATAATTCCTGCCATGCCGACATCACCAGAGTTAGAGTGAGGGTCAAATGAGATTATGTATATGAAAGGATTTTATGAACTTTAAAGTACCAAAATATAAAAAGATGTTATTGCTTCTATATTCCCTTCCGGATCTCTCTGGTCTCTCATTCATACCATGTCAGACCTGGTATTCTCAATAGCTACATCAGGCATCCAGACTGAGCTCCTGTAGTATGAGGTCAAAATATCTCATTTTAATAAATATTTATTGATCACTTGCTATTCTAAGTGCTAGGGATCCTGCAATGAGCATAACATATAAAGTTCCTACTCTTTTGGAGTTTACATTCTAGTGGAGGAGAGGTAGAAAATGTAAACCAGAAATATATAGTATAGCATCAGGCAATAATTAGTGCTATGAAAAAGAACAAGTCAAGCTGATCAGGTAATGAGGTCAAAGAAATATCAGGGCATAATCATGAAAGGCTTTCAACGATGTGGTAGACTTTGAAATTTATTCCAAAAGCAAAGAGAAACGATCAAATGGCTTTAAGGTAATATGATCTGATTTACATTTTAAAACAATCGCTCCAGCGACTGCCTGGAGAGTAGACGGTAGGGCAGCAAGGAGACTTTGGGGGTTACTGCAGTAATCCTGGCAAGAGGAGTGGTGGCTCAGGCTATGCGACCGAGGCGAGAGTCATCAGAAGCCCACAGAACTTCCTTATGGGTGGAATGTGGGGTTTGAGAGAAAGAGAGGGGTCAAGATGATTCCAAAGTTTTGGGCCTGAGCAACTGCTGGAATGGAGTTGCCAGTTATTGAGGTGAGGAATACTTTAGCTGGCGCAGATCTGGAGGAATGAGGACAGTGTGTGCAGGAGGAAAATTAACAGGTGGATTTTGTTTGGACTTGCTAATTTTTTGATGTCTACTAGACATCCAAGTGGGCCTGTCAAGTGAACAGCAGATGAGACTGGAGTTCAGGGAAAAGAACAGAGCTAGAGAAGTAAATGTGTACATCATCAGTGGGGGTGGGCAGGTGTGGATGATTTTTAGAATGCTATACTACTGCTGCCATTTGAAACATCCTACACGGGAAATATGTGAGTGGCCTCCTGATGACATTCCAATCATCAGATTATCCTTGTAGAAGAAATGCACCAAGTGGCAAAGTTTTAATCACGCTCCTTCTTAAGGGATTGATTAAAGTACTAAGCAGAACCTGACTCATGATTGATCAAAAACACAAAATGATTTTATTTCCGTTGGGTTCTTTGCTTACCTTTCCTCTGCTCTCAGGTATTTTCCTCCCTGGTTTCTTATATTTTGATGCCATTGAAACAAAGAGTTAGACAGATTCTTAGCTCACTGAAATATTTGCATCATTCATTTTGTTCGTTATACTGTCTAACATTTACTAGGGATTATTATGTGCTGGGTACTTAGCTAAGACCAGGTCTCTGAATTTTCTTGCTCATGATGCCCTTAGTCTCAGTGGATTTTTCCTGGTGCCCCCAGACCAAAAGAAATACTGAACAGTTCCATTTATTAAGTAGATGGGTCCAAACAGCTTAATAAGTATTTATGTCCTAATGACTTAGTAGCCATTTGAAAAAATAATACACTTAAATTGAAAGAAAAAATAACATTTTTATCTAATTCTTAAACAACCACAATTTACTAATAGAATGTGTATCTGTAATACAAGGGGAAAATCATAATGCTATAGAATGGTTATCATTCAGGTATTAAGGAAATTCAAAGGAGAAAGTTGTATGAAATCAAGTGTTTGGCCCAACCACAAACTATTCAGAATATAATTCCATCAGGGCCAATCTATTATGCTTCTATTGCAGACTTGGAGGCCAAAAAATAGATTGTATTGTCCACAAAACCAAAATGCTTTATTAACTGCACTCATATATCCTCCTATCTAGATGCATTAGGACGGTTATTTTTCTCTTCTTGCTACTTATTTGGATTCTTGTTTAGGATTGTGTCCTTTGAATTTTTATTAAGGTTTTTTTTTTGCCACATTTCTGTCATTAAAGCTTCTCTGAGTCATTAATTTCAAGATAGTTTCATATGCTTATTAATTATCCAGTTTATGTTCTTCGATTTAATTTAAATCGTAAACTAGTCCAATGGGGAGTCATTTGCTCATAAAATGAGTAGAGCAAATGTGTTTTCTGGACAATTTTCATTACCCACAAGCCTCCCTGGAGTATTCAGTCGTTTATTAACCATTATTGGGGCAGCCTTGGAGCTGGGAATGTAATCTGTTTTCCCTAGAACCTGAATATTTGGTAGTTGTTTTCTTCTCACAATCTAAAGTCATGAAACTGGTTCCCTCTTCTTCCTGGCCTGTGTCTTGGATGTTATGGTATTTAATACGATAAGTGAGCCATTGTCTTTTTGGTAAATTTAATTATTATGCTTTGCTGTTCATACATGGGTCTCATCAGTCATAGTAAATTCTTCCACCTAGTACCAGTATCAAAGGCAGATTTATGGAGAACCTAAGGAAGCTTAAGCTTCTGGGCCCATCACTTTCGTAGGCCCTATGAGTGCTGGGAGTAGAATGTTCTAGGTAGGGAGGGGAAAACAGGTTGCCACCTCTAGGAAGCATCTCTAGCTGAGCATTTCTGTGCAATTGCCTAAAGAGATCTCAGAAGAAGGGGGCCTGAGTGTCCAAGGCTCTAGTAATTTGTTGTGAATTTTCTTTAAATTCCAAATAAGTATTCTCTTTTGTACCTAAATTTGAATTTATGATTTTGTATTCGTTTCCTTAAAAGGGGCCCCAAGAGCGATCTAAACTTCTAGACCCACACAGTTTGGATTTGCCCCTTACCAGCTTTGTTTTATCAGAATGACTCTATTTCTAAATTCAAACTTCATTATTTTTCAGATAATTTTTGAAGCCATTCGGGGAGTGTCAATAAGAAGTGATATTGCCATTGATGATATTAAATTTCAAGCAGGACCCTGTGCAGGTAACAACATTTTTCCTGATTATATAAACTTGATGGAAAAGGGATTTTGCAATAGTCTCAAATCATAAGAATGCAAATTACACATTTTTATACACTAAAAATAGAGAAAACAATTATTGTCTATTTGTCTTTCCTGACAGAAATGGAAGATATAACTCAGCAATCATCAGGGTATTCTGAGGATTTAAATGAAATTGAGTATTAAAACGTGATCTGGATTGGATTAACTAAACAAAAGCCATACCTCTCTTCAATCAAAATGAAAAGAAAACAAATGAATACTGGACAGTCTTAACCATTTCATAAGTTATAAAATGACTTCAAGCACTCTTTCCATTACTTTTGCAAAAAATACTGACTCAGGGCTTTTTTTTTTTTTTCTTTTTGCATATGACAACTGTTACTAGACGTACAGGCTGCTAGTTTTGCATAGATCATTCATCTTAATTTTGGTACCAGTTAAAAATACAAATGTACTATATTGTAGTCATTTGAAGTAGGCAAATAGACGGCACAATCAAAATGAGATGTGCTCACTTAAATCTGCATTCAGTGAATGTATTGGGAGGAGAATAGGTCTTGTGGGTTTCCTTTTGAAATTCAAGTATCGTAAGTATTTTTAAAGTAATAATGTGAGGTGTCATTCTGCAGAATGAATGCAGTTTTTCATGGTAACAAGTTAGTCTAAGAAAATGAAGTCTTATTTTCTGTATTTTATTCCTAGAAATGGAGTATTAATTTTTAAATATTTTTACCATATGTGATAACAAAGGATCATTCATGAATGTCCCAGGGTATGTCAGTATTAATTAATGCTGTATTACAAGACAATGCTACCTTCTTTTTTCTTCTTTGAACTACTTTTGAAAGTCACTATAAACACATGGATATAAATTGCACTCTTTTTTTGTACAGCAAGCTTGAAAATGTTTATGTACACACACCCAAAAATTTTTAGAATGTGTTAAAGAATTTTACTGATTTTTATAATAAATGTTTTGGTAAGGTTTTGAGTAATACGAATTCAAGCAGATATACTAAACTACTGCTTTTTATTTACATGTTTAGAAAATTGTATATACATGTTTGTATACCCAAACAGCTGTTATGAAATTATAAGATTACCTAATAAAAGGTAATTTGAAAATCTTTTCGCTGACAGTTAACTCATTTCTACATTATTTCTCTTTGTCAGAATATCTTCACTACATAACTGCAGATTATAATTTGAATCTCTGCTCTGCTACAACTGAATACTTCTTAAGCCTTTTATTAGTGACTATGTAAGCACTGCATACATTGATGCAGTAATTAATTTTTTTTTTCAGGGAGATTATCCCTGAGCTAACATCCACTGCCAATCCTCCTCTTTTTTTGCTGAGGAAGATTGGCCATGAGCTAACATCCATGCCCATCTTCCTCTACTTTATATGTGGGACACCTACCACAGCATGGCTTGCCAAGCGGTGCATAGGTCCGCACCTGGGATCTGAACTGGTGAACCCCGGGCCGCCAAAGCAGAGCACACAAACTTAACCGCTGTGCCACCAGGCCGGCCCCTGCAGTAATTAATTTTTAAAGAGTGTTTTATTTCATATAAACAATCTAAATTTTTCCTCAAATTTTATATTATTAGAATTTAAATTCTGTGAGGATAAGGATTCTTGCCTGTTTTGTTTACTTTGCTAGTCTCAGTACTCAGAAAAAATATCTGGTATATATTAGGTGCTCAACAAAGAAATACTTGTTGAATGAATGAATGAATTTAACCCTCCCAACATCCTCCAAGATGGAGATATTATCCCTTTTTACAGATAGGGAAAATGAGGCTCAGAAGAGTGAAAAAATTCTTAAGATTCCACAGCTGTTTTTTAATTTTATAGTCCGGGTCTGTCTGCCCCAAAGCCCATACCACTCACTGCTTTGTGCGGCCAAAATCCATTGTTCTCATGGAGTTGGGAGGTTTTCCCACCAAGAATGTCAGAACCCATAAATTAATCTGTAAAGAGCATTACACTTCCCTGAACACCACATTCTTTAGAAAACAAAAAACACTCAGCTATACAAAATAAACATCTGAGGTTTATGGGGAAAATAGACTTTTATAGAAAGCAAAATTTTGTGAATCAAATCCTTTCTACTCATAATGATTAATTACTCAGAGTGGGGAAATCCCTAGATGGAGTTGGGACATTGGGAAGGAAGATTTCAAGATGATGACCAATTCACCAGCATGCTAGACATGATAATCTCCTGACAGTATTATCCCTGTCCAGAGCTTAGTTATATTTGCTGAATAAAGAAATGAAGATTGTATCTCCAGGACCTAACACAGTATCTGGTACATAGTCAAGGGTTTATACCTCGTGGTGAATGAATGAAGTAATTCACCAGCCTCCTTGCTTATGGATTGCATAAATCCATGTTAATAATCATAGCGAACATTTATTGAATACTTACTATTTTCAGACATTGCTCAAAGAGATTTATATGAATTTTCTTATTTAATCCTGATAATAACCCATGAAGTAGATCCAATGATATTTCCCTTTTATAAATAAGGAAACTGAATCTCTCCAAGTTCAGGGGCTAGTATAGGGCTTGGGTTTGAACCTGGTCTGTTTCGCTGACAAACCTGTGTTCTAATCCTTATACGACTGCCTCCTGCACCTGCCTGCTCGCCTACCAACTCCACCCCAATACCAGTTTAAACTCTGCCAAAGGTTCCAAGTTTCCCTCCCTCGAGAGGATTTATTGGCTATCAAAATTGCCCCAAAGTTTGCCAAACCAGAAAGACTACTTGGGACACCAGCTTTGGGAACTGAGGGGGCGAAAGGTGGGGGTTTGGGGCTAGTTATTGACTTAGCAGAAAGGAAGGAGGTAATGATTACCAGTTGTTGCTAAGACACACTCTAAAGTTCATAGAGGAGAGGAGGTGGAAGGGGAGAGAGCGGATTAATTTACCCTCCCTCAATTATACTCCTTTGGCAAGATGTGCTGTTTGGATGCTTCTTTTCCTTTTCCAGGTTGCCCTTGGCATTCATTTAAACTGTGCTTCACCTGGATGAAATATGGAAGGATAGTAAGCACCATACAGTTTTCTCAAGTTTAGAAATGCCCTAGGGGAAGGCACGCTAATAGCGACTGCTTCACAACTTAAACCCAGTGTTTGCATTTATTCCAGTTCTTACCTAAACCCACAAGTGCTTCAGATAGAAACTACTTTTCACACAAATTGCCTTCTCTCCTATAATTTGCTGTCTAAGTTGGAGATTATTTATGGATAGAGGGGAGTGAAGGACAGGATACCAAGAAAATAGTGGCTCTGATGCAAGGTCTGGTTTAATATGGAAGAAGAAAAACTTCAGCAAAGATTTGTTGAGAAATCTATGCTCCAGCCATTCTACCAAGCATGGAGGTTACAAAGATGCTCATGTACTGGTGAGGAAAACAGAGATCTAAACCGGTCAGCCCCATTCAGAGTGCTAAGTACCATGAGGTGAGATGTCCAGGGTGCTCTCGGAGGGCCGGGGAGGGGCGTCTGACCAGGGAGGCTGTGGTCTGGGCAGAGCAGTGAGAACCAACAGACACCTATTAGTGTTCCAGGTGCCCAGATGGATGTCTTCTGTCACTCTCTGAGGGTCATGACATGGGCTCTTTGACTTCTTATTTCCATGCAGGGGACATGTTTTCCCATGTGATTTAACCAGAACTGGGGAAAAAAAATGTTTTCATAACGGATCATTCTTATGTTGCATTTTCAACATATGGATTACTATAACGAGGTGCTACAGTGTAGTGATTAAGTGCACAGTTCCCGCTTCAGGCTGCCTCAGTTTAAATCCTGGCTTTGCCACTTAAAGGCTTTGTGACTGAGGGCATGTCACTTACACCTTCTCTGACTCCTATGCCTAGTCTGCAATATGGGGCAAATACTTGTCCCTACTTAAGGATGCTATAGAGATTAAATGAAAATAATACATATAAGCCCTTGGTGTCTGACACACAAAAGCCATTCTAGTTTATATTCTATGGTTTGAGTGAAATTTTTGGATAAATTGCAGTATTTTTATGTATTCTTTCTTTACAAAGGAATTGTGAGTTTATAGTGCCATCTTAAGGATAAAGCAACCATATAATCTTGTCGTTTTATCAGCTTCTTTTTCTTTATTACCAGCAATCCAGGATCATTTTAACGAGCACCTGGGGAATGCCCTCCTCTGCTCTTCCTGCTCCAGCCACTCTTAGTGGTTCTTCCATGCTGCTTACCCTGTGTACATACCCCTAGCAGAATTGATCACCCTAAGCCTAAAGTCTTTTTTCTACATCCATCTGTCTCCTCAAGGATGGTCGCTTATTCAATTTTGTAACCCCGCTGCCTAGCATACTCGGCAAATATTTCTGGATTAAGTAAACAAATGCTCAATAAAAGCATTTGTTTAGTATGAGTATGTGTGTGGTTTCCAAAAAATAACAAGGGATATAAAGAGTCTCTTTGGTCCATCAAAATTTCATGGTCTTGGGGCCAGCCCAGTGGTGTAGTGGTTAAGTTAGTGGACTCTGCTTCAGCAGCCCTGGGTTTGTCGTTTTGGATCCTGGGTGTGGACCTACACACCACACATCAAGACAGACTGTTGCGGTGTCCCATATATAAAGTAGAGGAGGATTGGCACAGATGGCTCAGCGACAATCTTCCTCAAGCAAAAAGAGGGAGATTGGTAACAGATGTTAGCTCAGGGCCAATCTGCCTCACCAATAATAATAAGAATAAGAATAATTATCATTATTCTTATTCTTCTTATTATTATTCATGGTCTGGAAATCCACACACTAAAAATTTAACATGAACATATGCCCCTGGCCATTGAGCCTAGATGATGCAGTCTCAATCTCCAAGGACACAGAGCAGGGTGAAGAGGGATGGACAATGGATACGACAGGGCAAGCAGAGAAAAACCAGCACAGAATCTTTAAATCTCCTAAGGCATTTTCTCATCTTAGAGTATTATCTTTGATCTCCAATAATGGGGACTGTGGCATCTTTCTTGTGATCGTAATAAGAACGAACAGAAATTTCTCCATTAATTATGATGTGTGCTCTAGGTTTTTGATATATAGCATTTATCAAGTTAAGAAACTTCAGTTCCATTCATAGTTTTCTAAGAATTTATTAAAAAGAGACATTGAACTTAGATGTTTCTTTGCATATGTTGAGATAATATAATTTGTCCCTTTTAATCTTTTAATATGGTGAATTACATGGACACATTATAGATTTTTCTCTTTTTTTCTCATTTAAAAATAGCTTAACTTTTCATGTGAAACATAATTTAAAAGAGTAATAGAATAGTAATGTAAAAGAGTATAGAACACATATGTAAGTGTTAAGGAGTAATAATAAAATGAACACTCACGTACCATTGATACAGCATGAGAAATAGAACATTCTCAATAACTTTGAAGTGTCCTATGGACTACACTGCAATCAAATTGTCTTCCCTTGCCCAGAGAGGTAACCATTATCCTAAAATTCATGTTAATCATAATCATTTGTCTCCTTGTTCTTTTGTGGTCCTAACTCATATATATGCATCCTAACAATACATTGCTTAGTTTTGGTGGTTTTTAAAAATTATACAGATGAAATCATTGCATATATATTCATCCATAATTTTTCTTTTTTGCTCAAAATTATGTTTTGAGATTCAGCCATGTTGAATTTCCAGCCGTAGTTAATTCATTTTCACTGTGGTATAGTATTCCATTGAATGATTATACTGCGATTTATTAATCCATTCTAGTGTTGATGAATATTTGGGTTGTGTCTAGTTTTTGCTATTGTGAACAATGCTCATACAAGTACCCGGGTACCAGTATGAATTTTGTTCAGTTATTAGATGTCTAGCATATGAATAGCAGGTTTGTACGAAAGGTACACTTTACTAAATGATGAGAAACTGCTTGCCAACTGGCTGCACTAATCTACACTCCCCTTACCAGTACAAATGAGTGCCAAAACTTGCTAGCGTCAAACTTTACTTTTTGTCAATCTGATAATTATGAAATTTATTTCATTGAGGTTTTAATTTGCATTTCTCTAATTATGAATTAAATTGAGCAGCTTATCGTACTTTCTATGACCATTCATG